ACACACACACACACACACACACACACACACACATGCACGCACACACACACACAGGGGAAACAGGATAGAACACGGGTGAGCAGAGGGAGTATCATAAGGCGGAGCTTCATGGATCGGAGGTGTGGCTTACCTGGACAGCATGCCCAATGGGGTGACATTTAGTGAGCCCATCAGCATAGCCAGTGCCATCCCTGGGGCTTCGCGTTCAATCACCTCCTTTGTCGCCTGAATGGGGGGGGGCATAGATCAGTCACCGGCCTGAAGTAACTGCATCCAGAAGGTCCTGTGACAGCGAGGCGTCACTGGTCCTCATCACCACCGACAGCCACCACCCAGGCATCTCCCGCACTTACAGGCCCAGCGTGCTTCCAGCGAGATGCTTCACCATACTTATCGGTTTGTGTTTTCTGGCAAAATTCCTCTTTTTTTTTCATTTAATGGCAGGGATAACAAGCTCCAGGTCAACTGGGTGACAGTCCAACTGGTTTTTATTAACACACCTTAATTAGTGGCTGATACACTAATTCATCCGATAAAGAGCTGATTGGGAGTGAAAAATGCACAGCGCATGCAGAAGGCGGCTAAGCGTCTGTGCACCGGAGAGCCCATCTGACGGCTGTCAGCACGGCTTCCCCGGCAGCGCCGCTGGGCATGGCGGCCGCCTTCGTGAGGACCCGCTGCGAGAGCCCCCCCCCCCATGCTCCCCACCTGCAGAGGTACACAGGGGGGGCAGGCAGTTCAGGGACTCCCATGCTCACAGAGGAGCCCTGACCGGAACCCTGCTCTCTGAGAACTGCAAGGCGTGGCGATGCCTCTCTCTCTCTCAGCTCCTAACTGCTACGTTAAAACTTTTTTTTATTTGATATCATCTCCCCGTTTCCGCAGAGGACATCAGTGGCAAGCATGTCCCCATACCGACAGAAAGGGGCTGATTGGCGAGGCGGAAGACAGCATTAAGACCATAATTAAACCATGGATTCACCTCGGGACAGATCCCACATGCAGACACGCCCTCTGGGTCCTTGTGCGTTACTGCTGAGCTATCGGCACTGCATTAATAACGTTAATGACCCCACACTTAACTCGTCCCATACTGACAATGCTCATAGACCTTCACTGACATTGACGTAAAGGAAATATCAAGCCGGACCACTAAGAAAGGACACCATGTGTTTTTCCTCTGCTCACCATCGGGTCACTCTCGCAAACTCATTACCACATCGGTTTTCTCTAATTTTTAAAATTAGCTTGAAGACAGCCTCGAATTAAACTTTGTCCACGCTGTCAATCTTGCCTCTAGGGTAGTTAGTCATGTTATCACTTCTTTCTGTAATAAACAAGAAGTATTTGAACAAATCCAGGGCAAGAATTACAGAGATGAGAGATAAAGACAAAACCAACAAAAATAAAATCAAGCAAAATACCTACATATTGGCAGATTGATTGTTTATTGTGGGTTACATGCAATGAAGTGGAAATAGTTAAAAACATTTTATGTAGTTTAGTGTTATTTGATTCTAGAACAGTTACGGTAATGAGATATTTGGGAAAATGGTTTAAAAAAACATAAGAATTGAGAGCAACAAATTACACATTTAAATATAAATAGGTGGGGGGGAAAACAAACAGTATTTCACGGCAACCTTTTTTTCCCAGAAAAATAATCAAGTTTGTGAGAATGACCCCATTAGTCAAGTTTGGAGAAACCAGTTGCCCTGGTTAAGGCTGTGTTAAGGTGCAGCATCCGGACACAGAGGAAGCTCAGCTCTCTTGCGTCGTGCTGTACAGCTGTGTCTTCCCTCCCTAAGGATAAACCACGGCTCAATCCCTTCAGTCTGAACATGTCACGCCCCACCGCCCCACCACCCCACCGTGATGGAGCCAGGAAGTGGCATGCGTGAACCTCACGAAGAGGCACATGCATGAATGCAGAAGGCCTCTACATCCCAGAAACGGCGCTGTGTCAGCGTCTGTGTCTGTCTTGGCATCCGTGACAGCGTCTGCGTAAGTGTCTGCATCCGAGTCAGCGTTTCAGTCAAGTGGCTGTGTCTGCAGCCATAGCAGTATTTATAACAAGGTACGGTCATGTTTATGTCTGTAACATGCAACTATGTTATGGGGTAGCTGTGTCAATACCTGCACACAGACCAGCATATATAGCTACATATCTGTATGTATCTGTATCCATACAGGTCTGTGTCGATACCTGTATGTTTATACCTGTATCTCAGTGTCAGTACCTGTATGTTTATATCTGTGTCAGTACTGGTATCCCAGTGTCAATGTCGGTACCTGCAAGTCTATACCTGTACCTCAGTGTTGTTACCTGTATGTTTATACCTGCATCTCAGTGTTTTTACCTGTATGTTTATACCTGTATCTCATTGTCAATACTTATATACTTATATCTGTGTCTCAGTGTCTGGGACAATACCTGTACCCTGGTGACAATGTTGGTACCTGCATGTTTATACCTGTATTCCAGGGTCTGTACCTGTATGTTTACATAAGTATGTCAGCACCTATACCTGAATGGTTATACCTGTATCTCAGTATCAGTACTTTGTAGAACTAGAACTTTTTAGAACTTGGTGATCAGTGGTCATTGTCAACACACCACAGCGCGCAACAATGAAATGTGTCCTCTGCATTTAACCCATATGTGACTTTTTTGTGACATAGCAGGGGGCAGCTAATTCAGCGCCCGGGGAGCAGTGCTTGGGGGTGGTACCTTGCTCAGGGTACCTCAGTGGTGCTCTGCTGGTCAGGGATTCGAACCTGCAATCTTTCAATTACAAGTGCGCTTCCTTAACCATCAAGCCACCACTGCCCACTTGTATGTTGATATCTATATCTCATTGTCTGTATCAGTACCTGTATATCGGTGTCCATGGCAGTACCCGTATATTTATATTTGTATGTCAGTATCAGTACCTGTCTATTTATATCTGTATTTCAGTGCCATTTCAGTATCTGTATATTTATATCTGTATTTCAGTGCCATTTCAGTATCTGTATATTTATATCTGTATTTCAGTGCCATTTCAGTATCTGTATATTTATATCTGTATTTCAGTGCCATTTCAGTATCTGTATATTTATCTCATTCGCCACGCCGGTGTCAGCCCCTGTATATTTATACTTGTACACGGTTGGCTGCCTGTATCTGTGTCACTGTCAGCATCTGTAACTGTGTCAGTATCTATTTCAGCATCAGAATCTGTATCTATCCAATCTCATGTCTGCCTCCATGTCCACGCCTAAGGCAGCAGCAGCAGAACGCTGACTCGGGAGTCCTCCCTGCTCTCTGCCTCACTGGAGACCGCCCCCCACCCCCAGCAAGCCTAAAAAAAAAGAACCCCGTGGCCCTTTGCTGGATTAAGCCAAATAAGCGATGCTAAGCTTGCTAAACGCTGCACCTCACAGCTGTAGCAGAATACATGGCATATTCCGCTTGTGTGAATATTATTACTTGTTATTTGCATACTGCCTTTTCCGTGCCATATGTAATCAAGGCAGTGCAGCTACAGTGCAGAGCAGTACCAGTTTATCCTGGACATCTGCCTTCTAGTCGGGACAGGGAGGAATTTGGAATCTTTGTCTGGTTAGGGACACTGTCGGCCTGTAAAGATCGCTTATGTAAATTTCGGATTACCGTTCAGACTTAAGGGTGGATCCTGAAACAGGGTGAGGGAAAGTAGCGCTAAGCTAGCGCGCGATCGGGAGCCGGGGACGCGTGCACACGACATGCAGCCGACATGCTCGCACGCCGCTCGCACTCACGCACACTCACATGGACACAAACACAAATAGGTGGTTCCCCATGTACCTCGGGCGTGACATCGCGGGGGGCGAAACCAGTGCCCCCGGTAGTCAGGATGAGGTTCAGCTCTTTCTCGTCACACCAGTCCACCAGAGTCTCCTGTAAAAGAGACGAAGGGTCAGTAAAGGAGATGCCCCAGAGGCTGCTACAGACTGATGTGCGGCAAAAGGGGAGGGTGGTGTTACCTTGATCTCATCGATCTCATCCGGGACAATTTTATAGGCTGCGACTGTTCCTCCCAGCCTGCAAGAAACGGAACACAGAATGCATCATCGACTTACACACAGAGCACCCCTCTCCAGGGCAGGGGATGCATTCACAGGCACAAAGCCCGAGTGAATAGGAGGAACCATTGAGTAAACAGACTCATTGACTTCATATCCATGTTATGCATAACAACACACTCCCATTGAAAGAGAACAGAACTACAGGCGAAGGCCAAAGAGCAAAAACTGTGGCTGATTTGGCTAAATGGTCAAATCGGTTTCATTCTCTCCTCCCACTAGTAGGTTTACAAACACTTAGCCCCCCTGCTGCTCTTTAAAGGACCTTCTATGCATTTTATCTTTAGCAGCACATTGTGAAATAAGTGATTAAATACCTAGTTCAATGCCAAAAAAAATTCATTGCCAAATCTGTGTGAACAGTTCCAAAAGCTCATTGGTACTGGCTCAAACTAAAACCATACATACAGATTAGAATTTTGTTGCAGGAGAGCTCTGTAAAAGATAGCATTTCTGTAGCTTTCACATTTCAAATTGTATCTACTGTCGCCCTCTTGTGGCAGATGCACCTAATGGCCTACATTAAAAATTTCCGAAGTACGAATTGTATTTTTGATTTACATTAAAAATAAAGCCGATGCGTGCACAGGCGATATTTTGTAACTTGTCACAAACGCACTTTTGTAGCTCATAACATTACTTAGTGATTATTAATACAGTGGTACCTCAGAACTCGAACTTAATCCGTTCAGAACTCGAGTTCGAATCCTTAAAAGTTTGAGTTCTGATCGAATTTTCCCCATAAGAAATTATGGAAAACCTATTAATTGGTTCCCGTCCCCAAAAACTTAAACCTAAATATGTTTTTTTAGCATTTAAACACAAAATGAACAGGATAAAACAAGAAGAGCATATACTGTACTAAACACATCTAAGCACATATATCAAAACATTTTTTTCTTAATGGCTTCCAAAACGATAAAGAATGTACCCCAATACTACCGCAAGCCACTGCACCAACACTAGACTACGCCATGCGGTCCATTATTTATTTTTATTATTACTCTGTATTCATTAATTTGTTCGTAAATCGCAAACTTTTATGTTGGAACATTTGTACAACTATTGCGTAACTTTTTGGTAGAGCAAAGGCTACCAAAATGATATAAAGTACAGTGTGTTACCTGATATTTTCAATAAAAAAGCATTATCACCAACAAACGATGCTATCACAGCTAATGCGAACCTGAGACTGAAGCGTTCCCTTTGTTTCCGCTGAGAGACGTGCCGCATGCTGCGCATACAAGTTATCTTAGGTCGGCGCTCACGGTTCGACTTCTGAGATTCAGATCGAGTTCTAGGTAATTTTTTTTTTAACTGGTTGGTTCGACTTAAGAAATTCGAGTTCTAATGAGTTCGAGTACTGAGGTACCACTGTACTACTTTATTAGACAAAAAGTAGCGCTTTCCTCAGCGCAGGGCTACAGACAATGAAAACAAGACAGCAAAACAAATTTTTAAAATGCAGCGCGGAGGCCCCTCCTGTGCCCTTGAGTCAGTAAAATAACTACATGCTACATTAGCGGCTCCTTCCCCATAAAGGCACACAGACATCACGGGTGGGGTTCCTACTTCAGGCACAGTCATTATCACCATCGTAAAAACAGTCAATTAGCACTAATAAGAGAAAGACAACAAAAGTCAAGAAGGTACTTTGGCTCATAAAACTATATTCAAAATTGGCCTAAAGGTGGGTTTGCTAAGGGGGACAAGGCAGTTACAGCAGCGGGCTTTTTCCCTTCCCCAAATTACACGACGTAAATCTATAATATTGCGCTGCTTCCTGCTGCTCTAAAATCTCTCTGAAGCTTTGCTGGTGGTTTCAGACGCTAATGAACTGTACTACTTCAAGCCTCAGAATGGGAGGGGCGGAGGAAAGAGAAATTTTATTACTTCGTGACAACCGACGACAGATCTCAGTATGGCTCACACCTGCTCCTGCGAGTCGCTGGGACCCCCGGCGTGAAACGTTAGCATGCTGCCACACAAGGAGGCTAACATAAAAATGAAAAAAGGACTGTGGCATTTACACCTACACAACCGTAATAACTTTGTTATGAGTTTTAACGGTAATGCTCTAAGTTTTAATAAGACGACGCGCACGGTACATCAACCTTCCAGGATTGAAGCAAACGTTTCTGCACCATTGGTTATCATCCCGTGGCGCCAGAGAGGGCGAGACCAGCTAGCTGCAACAGCACCACCCGTCAGGTGTGGATGGAAAGGGAATTGCAGGTGCAAATTTTATTCCACCGTTAATCTCTGCACACGTGTCCTATAGAAACAATGGACAGCTGGAATGTCAGCCTACTGGTGCACAAAACGGGGCCATTAAATGAGCTAGCAATAAATAAAGACGGTACTTAACAATTAACAAAACATAGGTCCAGGTAATATACAAGGCATATGAACATGTTTGGTGCGCAGATGGCCAATTTGGAATTATAGAGGAGCACAAAAGGTACATTTTTTTGTGATTGGGGAGACCCTGGCACTGGTGCCTGAAATTCAGCTGCTACAAACCAGATTGCATTGAGGGGGGGGGGGGAGGAGATCAGGCTGGAGGCTCATTTGCCATAAGAGAGAGACAGCAAACAAAGAACACAGTGTAGTCAAACAAAACAGAGGTAAGTGATGCAATCTGAGAGGCTTTCAAGCCTAAGTCCGATATGTATCTGCGTAGCTATTCCTCTGGGTACTGGGCCTGGAAAACAGTCCTACCACGTAGGTGAAAATTAGATTCTTTTTCATTTCCTGTTCCGAAAGAACTGGAATGTGAGCTTTAGAAGTCACCACCATTACCTCCTTTTTTGTTTTCTTTAAGTCCTTCAGATTTTATTTTTATTTCCGAGCCAAAATGAGATGCGGAACACAAAGTAGCAGGGCTCTTTCACCTAGTTTCCAAGGAAACCTCTGTCTGCGGAACTCACGGTCGGGATGAAGAGATCTGGGTGGCTCGAGTGTGGCTCTGGCAGGTATTTCCGCGATGGGGCCCGGTGCACGCGTGCATGTGGTAACGCTTATCACGGGGCCGCGCCTCAGGGCAGGGAAATTCTCACTTAAGCAAACGACACTGGGTTCGTGCCTTTCATTAACCTTCTCACCAGGAAGAAACTCCAGAAGCTTTAGGAAGGCTTAACGGCAAAAGGGGGGGGGGGGAAATCATTGATATATACAGATAATTCATCCACGAAATAACCGAGAGCTCTGAGGATGCAGCGTGTGAAAAAAGGATGAGGGAAGCGGAGAAATTAAATCAGAGGTGACTGAAGAGGGTAAGACTTGTGCGAGACATGGCGTCTGTGAGGAAAAAAGAAAAGAGAGAGAGGTAAAGAGGGCACAGGGCGGGAATATCTCTGGGTATGAACCGGCCCCTGCGGCAGGCTGGGGCAAAACTGCCTTAAGCTAACTTCATACATAATTACTGCAAAGCCTTGGCTCAAATTGGTGGATGTCTGACATGTGCAGTCAGTATATCAACATCCTATTAGACAAGTCTCAAAGTTACTCCTAGGCTAACAGGAAGCAAGAAAATCATTGCTAGTCCCTATGTCAACAAACAAACAAAAAAAAAAGTCAGATAACAGTGAATATGACAACAAAGACCAGGCTCAACTTCACCAGTCACTAAACCTGGACTGAGTACTGGAGATATAATCACACAAGCGCCAAACAAACTTTTCACTTGTTTGTATTTCTGTCTTCTTAGGCTTGCAGATGTTTGGATCCATGTTAGCTACTGGCCACATGAGCCTCCCTTTGCTGGCAGGTGAATGTATAAGTCATGCGATCTTCAGAGACAAACACCGACGGACGACTGGGTGCGTGTTCCGGGCTCGGCGACCTTCCACCTGGCACCATCACAGGGTGGCAGTTCGCTGTATTTCTGCCCTGCTAGATCTGCCCTGGCCAGCCGCAAATAAAGCGATTGTGGAGTGAGAACATCCAGGAGCAAGTTCAGCTGCGAAGTGGTCGCCCACCCAGGCTCACGGAAAGGGGGCTGATTACCCGACATTAATATCCAACCTAAATGGCAACAAAACCCACCAATATTCCAATATCTAATGGAAAACCTTCCCAGGACAAAGGGTGGAATGGAAGCTGGTGTCCATATACTTTTGCCCATATAGTGTAATGCAGGGGCAAAGACGACAGTAAAATAAATGTGTCCAGCAAGGAAGCAAGCAGAAGGCGGCGTGTCGCAGCCTCCCTGCGGCCCGTCGGGCGGAGGCCCGAAAAGGCTGAAGCATGTGTCTCTGGCAGCAATTTATTAGCAACTGTTTTCCTCTGCTAATTTGGGAAATTGATGTGGGACGTTAAGACCCAAGTCACCCGGCGGTGACAGGCTGTGATGAGACCTGCCGGCAATCATCACTCAGCCACCGGCACGTAAAGCGAGAGGCGTCGCGCGGAAGCGGCGAGGGGCGACCAAAGAGGCGCGTGGGCAAAACTCAGAGGACGGTCAAGAGCGTGGCAGTGAGGCCGTGCAAGTCGCCCCCTGCCTGTCAGCTCTCTGCCGCGGCCCGCACCACCTGTCCCCGTCGCGGCTTCCTGCGGGCACGGCCTCACGCTGGCGGGGTGACGTCAGTGGGACCAGTGCGAACCGTCGCTGGGGCGGTTAAACCTGCCTCGCCTCGTAGCCTAATGAAACCACCGCAACTGCTGGGAAGTTTATATGAAGCTAAACACTTTGCAGTTTACAGTGTTAAATATCACCATTTCAGCCTAAAAAATACCTCAATTAAACTTACTCATCAATGTTCCGTAACTGCATGTCCAGTAGAGGGGCTATTTGCTTACTTAAATTCCCTGTCTATGTATGTCTATCTGTCTATTTGATTATATATTTACTTATTTATCAACGTATCAATGTTTCCATCCATCCCATGCTGCTTCTAACTAGGCAGAAAGCCTGATGCTAAAAGTATGTGTTGTGGATTGTCTTGCATGTTATAAGTTATACCAGGGACAGACCCACCAAGACATATTCTTGTATGTTTAACATGCTTGGGCAATAAAGATCATTATGATTTGGATTCTGTCGATTCTGGAGGCTTTCCCGAGGTAAAAACACATTCGCACACCGTGAAACAATTTCGAGAGCCCAATTCACCTCACTGCGTGTTTTTCAGACCGCAGGAAGCTGGCGCTGTACCCAGAGGACACCCACTTGTGCTCAGGGAGAACATGCAAACCCCATTAAAAGTACCCGACATCTCCGGGATTCGACAAAGTAGCGATTTGCGTAAGACGTCAAATGCCAACGACAGGCGGTTCCTGCAGAAGACCCGACCGGGAAGAAAAGTTCATTGAAGTGTCAGTTTTGGCTACAGGTGCCAGTGGAAGTTTCTGAGACCTCGAGCGGGCAGGCAGAGGTCCAGGACTGTACTGCGTCTCGGACAGGCAAAGGTCCAGGACTGTCCTGCTTCTCGGGCAGGCAGAGGTCCAGGACTGTCCTGCGTCTCGGACAGGCAGAGGTCCAGGACTGTCCTGCGTCTCAGACAGATGGACCCTAACCCTCGCGCTGCTGCGCTTCATGTATGCCGGGCTCCGGCTGCGGCAAAGTCAGTCAGAGTTCACAGCATTTATTATTATTATTATTATTATTTACTTATTTTTTTAACTTTGCTTGAAAATCTGCTCCAGTCGCTGTGCTTAACTGCAGGTTTCACACTCTTAATAATATCTGGGGATTCAGCTCAAGATAGAAATTAGCACACGACTGTTACGTTATTCTTAGGCGAGCGGTGCCAATATTAGCTACGTCACACTGTCGTCATTACGCCGCGTGTTTATTTATAGTGCCAGAGGAAAAAAGGATTTGTGCCGTGATGATCCTCGGTTACAGCAGGCGCTGATATTAACGGTGTTACGCCATAGGTACGAGACAGCCCCCCTATAACGGGCAGAAGCCAGGACACCTCGTTTGACAGGACCTCATCCATCAAGCCCAGTCCTCCAGAGTGTCACATTCCAGAGTGAAATATCAAGAGTGACATGGGTGTAATTGGACTGAAATTAATCAATTATGTAAATGACACGTTACATGCTGGTAATTGACCCCCAGTCCCAGGGGCTGGGGGAGGTTCTTGGGAAGGAGAAAGGAGAGGATGTGACTCTGCATTTGTCTGCCCCGGGGGGGGGGCACCGCTTAGGGATTCGCTTCTACACATGCGTGCACGCAATTGGGGAGCTACTCACAGAGAGGGATCGTGGACGAGCTCTTTGAGGTTCACTCCACTGCGGTCCTCGGCGAGATTTCTGAAGCAACTGTCACTCACTGAAAAACAGATGGGGTGGGGGGAGCAGAAATGCGAATGTCAACATCACCAAACAAACATGCATCCCGACCCCCCCAATGCCATTCAGAGCACAACAACAGCCAGCGTAAGATCGAAATCCCATACTTATAACTTGCACATTTGTCACATTACATTCATTTTATTTTGCTGTTTTTCCCAAGGCGACGTACGAGTAGAGCAGGGTCATACAGTGTCCCTGGAGCAATTGGCGGTAAAGGGCCTATCTCAAGGGCCTGATGATGACGTCACTCTGCAAGCCATGGGATTTGATACGGCGACCTTCTGAGTCCTAACCTGCAAAGCCCCACATGGACCGTGACCACTGGGGTGGACATTAGATAGAGGACAGGTAGCATGGTATAAAGGACAGGTAGCATGGTATAAAGGACAGGTANGTAGCATGGTATAAAGGACAGGTAGCATGGTATAAAGGACAGGTAACATGGTATAAAGGACAGGTAGCATGGTATAAAGGACAGGTAGCATGGTAAAAAGGACAGGTAGCATGGTACAAAGGACAGGTAGCATGGTATAAAGGACAGGTATGTGTAGCTGGAGAGGGAGGGGGGCAGCTCCAGTTTAAAGGGAAACACGTAATGCTTGCTTTGGTATTAAACCACCCTATTTAGCCACCCTGGCCCCCCTTTGGCATGAAGACATTTTTTACGGCACCAGGAAGAGAAGGTGGACCGTCTGCAGCAGCGTTCATATATGTGAGTGCATGTGTGCATGCGTGCACGTGCATTAATGCAAGGGTGCATGTGTGTGCAGAATGGCCCCTTGGAAAAAGCCTGGAGTGTGTGTAGTGGGGAGGAGGGGTTGGTTTATGTGCCCTGAACGTGCCTCTGCACATGTGTTCAGGAAGGACCCGCCAAATCAGGCAGGGCCATTGGGAAAGGTGATCTGCGCGGGAGGGCAGAGACAGACAGACAAAGCGGGAGAATCGGACTGCAGTTGGGACAGGCTTCAAAGGAATATTAATATCGCTGGAGAGCACTCCACCAGAGCCCCCACCCATGCACAGAGGCAAAAGGAAGCTGAGGGAGGAAGAGGAAGAGGAAGGCAGAGCTCCGTCATCTCGCCGCGGATCTGGGCTGACCCCGACGTCATGAGCAAGGCCGGCATCCTCTACTCAGAGACACTAACATCCACCATGTATAAGGAGACTATTATGTGTGGCAGTAGTGGTAGTGCTATTTTCAGGATGTCACGTGCAACATTTTATTCAGAAGGCACAACTGCAAATCCATTCTGGACCATGCACTGGGCCCACAGCTGCCACGATACCTGTTCAGCCTTCAGATCTCTGCATTGGTATTCGAGGACAATAGGGATGTGTATGGAAGAGGCGGGGCTGTGTGGAAGGGACATGATTTCACAGAATTCAAAGAAGGGGCGGGGCTGAATGGGAATGGGCGGGGCTGCTGGGCAGGGTCAAAGGAGAATGGGTGGGGCTGCATGGGAAGGGGCAGGGCTGCAAAGGGAGGAGGTGGGCCTGCAAGGGGAAGAAGTAGGGCTTTGGGGGAAGGGGTGTGGATGCATGGGAAGTGGTGGAACTGCTGGGGAAGGGGCTAGGCTGCAGAGGAAGCCATGGTTACATTGTTTCTGCATTTTGATAGGAGTAACCGGCACACTGCATGTTTCCTATGCACTCATACTCCAGTCCATGGTACCCGGCCCCTCAGTGCTGCGCCGCCGACAAGTCGACCGACTGCAGTCAAAACGAGCCTGAGATTAATGACGTTCTGCGAAAAGCCCATTACCGGGGACAAATATTAAACAAGCTTTCGCCGTGCATGTCACACGGGAAACACCGGAGGGGCCGGAGTGGCAGGAATCACAAAGCCGCGATCTCACACGTCAAGCCCTCTGATGCCCATGTCACACCTCTGAGAAGCCAGCCCACGTCCTTCAGCGATGTTCACGCGCCAGTGTCAGCCTGCCTTCCGGACGGCAACCAGCATTTATATTAACCACAGCTCTCAAACTTCATTTTTAATTTTTCATTTACTGTTGTGTTACTCCATAACCCTCTGTACCAGGATGTACAGGGGCACGAGGGAGGGATGCTCTCTGGAGGGGATGCCAGGCCATCAGAGAACGCAAGCACACTACGGGCAATTTAGAAACATCAATCAGCCTAACTGCATGTCTTTGGACTGCAGGAGGAAACCAGAGACCCCGGGAGGAAAACCACACAACACAGGTAAGACATGCAAACTCCACTCCACACACACAGGGGGCAGAACTGGGATCCGCCAGCAGGAGGCAGAGGTACTACCCACTCAACCCCTATGCCTCCCTTATTACATTTGGCAGAAATCCGGTTCCTGGGGACCCACAGACAGTCCACGTTTTTGCTACTGGGCTGGGAGGGAGCAAAAACATGGACCGACTGTGGATCACCGAGGATCGGAATGGGAAACACTGCTTGTTACGTGCCGTAAGTTTGGGTTACGTGCCGTAAGTGTTACGTGCCATAAGTTTAGGAGGATGCCTGCAGGTCCTTCGGACGTCCTGCCCACTCGCCGATTGGTCAACTGCTCCCTCGACTCCGCCCTCTGGACCTGACCCCGCCTCCCTTGCCCTCGGAGCAGTTTCCGGTTCATCGGCTGAAGAGATTTCCGCTACTTGCTTCTTGCCTGCTAGCTCGCTCTTCGTTCGCTTTGCTTTTGGTTTGAATGCTCGTGTATGACTGTTTTGCTCTTGACTTCCGATTTCCGATTCCGATGACATGGGGAAACCCACGGTAGCTCAGAGGGAGCAAAAACATGGACCGACTGTGGATCACCGAGGATCGGAATGGGAAACACTGCTTTAGATGACATGGAGAAACCCACGGGAGCTCAGAGGGAGCAAAAACATGGACCGACTGTGGATCACCGAGGATCGGAATGAGAAACCCTGCTTTAGATGACATGGAGAAACCCACGGGAGCTCAGAGGGAGCAAAAACATGGACCGACTGTGGATTACCGAGGATCGGCATGGGAAACAGAAAAAATATAATACTCCATCCATCCATTTCAATGAGGCACCTGGTCCTTGACCCTGGAAGGCACCGTGGGAATCACTAGGCAGCACACAATCTGTATGCCAGATATCATTCCCGTGCTGGAGAGTCTCACCCCGTCTCACTCTCTTACTCTCATTTACACACAGGA